GCATGATTCTGGCCACAGCATTTTCTTTTTTTTTTTTTTTTTTTTTTTTTTTTTTTTTTTTTGCCTATTTATACGTGTTTATGTTGTCAGCGTTCGTTGGTTTGCATGCCTCGTTTTCAAGTAATTCGTGCACGACTAGTCTTGATAGATGCTAAGAGTTGCTTCCATACCCATAACTTGTATGCATGCATACTCATGGACTCTGCAAGATGACATTTGCAATTCGCGATTTTTGTTATTGGGTCACCTGATTCCCCCGGACAGGGGAAATTGTTCCCCCGCATTCTCGGGGCTCCACCTACCTAAAGTCCTCCATCAACCTGTCCTTCTTTGTTTTTTGTTTTAACTGTCTTCCATTACTAGCATTTCGCTTTCTGTAATCTACGGGCAGCTTCATTATGCAGAACACTCGAAATGGACACAATCAACCGCTATTCGTCATCTATGGATCTATGGATCTATCCTACTATGCTCTCTCAGTGGTGTATGTACGTCCTGCTCTTGTTACTTTGAAGGGCCAACTAAGAACTTCACAGCTTCGCCTTAGCCACGCAGTGCTGCCCTTGGGCCCCTGGCTTCCCCTGGGGCGTATTGCTCTTCTTTGGAGCTGAGATGTATCCGCCAAGAACATTATCAGTATTCGTCACATTGCCCTGTTCATCACGCTTGATTCCAAGCTCTAGCAGCTTGCCAAACGCCTTAGCAAAGTCTTTAAAGAAAAGGTCCTTATCGTCGGCATATTTCTTGACCCATGGCGAAAACGCTGGGTCGGATGCAAGCACCATGTCAGTGGGTAACATCATCAAAGGCTCCTCCTTCTCGTCTTCAGGTAGTTCAGGGTCACTATAACTGAATTGCTTCAATCCGTTTGACAGCGTACGCGGTTTCCATTCGAGGTTCAGAAGTAGTTTGAAAAATTGGTTGGAGAATCGAGTCGGATTGTTCACCCACGGACCATCGTAGCCGCTCCGATCCATATGTCCACGCCCTAGGTTGTGTGCTCCCGATAGCGCGACAATCTCCTGGTCATTGAACCCCATGCGATAGAATATTTGTCGCAAGTGATCAGCTCCCTGTTCCGCATCGGGTAAACGACCGCGTGGTGGCAGCTTGCTATCATCGACGTAGTCGGTTCTTCCAGGCAACCACTTCACATCCGGACCACCCATTTCCTTCAGCGCAACCACGCCTGCCAGTGTCCAGAGATCGGCATATGTAATCCACGGATGTCGTTCTTTCACCGGTTCGAGAAAAGTACGCGCAACCTGAAGTCCTGCATTTGCGGGATCTCCGCCTTCGGCCTCGTATCGCATGCCCGCTCCATTCGATCCACCTGTGTCTGTCTCGAGATCATACGTGCCAGCGGAGTGCCTGAGTATCACATGGAATAAGCGTCAGCCAATGTTGTTCACGCAACAATACGCGCGAGGCATGGGGGGAATGCGCGAGAGACACGGTGATTTGCTGACCATGCTAGACGGAGAAAAACAGGCCCTGCGCTACCATCATCATAACCGGGCTTATTGAGCTGGGCGGCGATGTCTTTGCGCACAGCAGCGTAGTCACCAGGTTGACTGGCCATACTTTCGGCCGAGAGGAAATACCGGTTTATCTGCCCTGCTCGGGACGTTTTGACCGTAACCTCGTGCGTCAGAAGTTTAGATGAAGGCTTTTGGAATCGAGTGGACTGTCGCAGAGCGAAGAAAATGTGCAAAAGAGAACAAATGTCGAGAGACTCGGCTTGGAGGATCTCCCGGTTGGTATCTCGGATATCGGCCTAGGAATGATTCTGGCCAATCGGAGGCCATCATTACGTGCTTTAGCCGAGGTTGATTCCTAGCCGCGCCTACACACTAAATATGCCCCTTTTGTAATCTTTATTTTCATATCAATTTCTAGGCATCTATAGTCATTCTAAATACAGAAGAAGCAATATACTAATGAAACACTATTCTTAGAGGTCCCTGAGCGACCTCTAAGAATCTAACAAATCACACCCATAGACAACTTGAGCCTTATGCTGACACGTAGGTATATTTTCACTTACTACTTAGCTAACATAACCCGATATTCACTATCTATTTGTCTGCTCTACCTATAAAAGTATCTCAGACTCGCATGAGTGTCTGCCGGAAGGCCCGCGGTGTGATGCTCGTCGCAGAAGAACCGTTGTTGAACCCAAACACGAAATCATCCAGGCCATTATATCCGTAAACCACATTATCTATAAGCTCCCAACTATGGCAGGCAAACTGTAATATGAACGACAACTCGTCCTCTGCCGGAACCTCTGACGGGTCCAAGGTATTGTAAACGGCGCGCCAGGCCGAGGAATTGCTGCTCTCCAAGCCGGTAGGGAACAGACGCACCGATAAGTATGATGCCGCGCCTGAGGAGAAGATGGGATATGTTTCTAGAATGTCTTGACCATTCATAAGCCAGCTCTGCACGTGTAGCCCCGACTCATCGTCGACTTCCAGCGTGATGCTGCTGTTCGTCTGACTGTTAGCGTATGTGCCAGCAAAGGTAGCGTTTGCTTGGACCTTGCCAGCTGCCTCGATGGCTCTGACGAGCGGCTTGAGGACCTCAGTTGCGATCACCACTTGCGTTCCTAGGCTGGACTCTGGGCCAGCCGTCATCAGGGACAGGGTCAGTCCGTAGTCAGGGATAACGATGAACCAGGTGTTGTAATCAGTCAAACCACCGATTTTGCCGTAGATGTCGATTACGCGACCATCGACAGTAAGGTTGTTGGCGCGCCCGATCTCCCACGGCGCGCCGACAGAGATTCCTAGAGAGGATGTATGTGTACGTGGCTTGAGCCAGGCTTTGGTTGTGTCCTCATCAATAAGCTTATAACTCAGGATGGCCTGGCCGAACTTGGCAAGATCGTTTGAGGAGGAGTAAAAACCACCATCACTATAGAGTTTAGTTGTTGAATCAATCAATATAAGATAATGAGACAATGTGCACATACGCTTCTTCAAATCCCAATGACGTACTCCAGAAGTTGGCCTCGTTAGAGATGAAGCCTATGCTATCGTCTTCAGGCTTGGTAACAAAAGAGCGCGTCATGTTAAGGGGTGCAAAGATTCTTTGCCGGATGAAGTCTCCGTATGATTGATTCGATACACGCTCGATCACTAGGCCTAGGATATCGTATGCTGCATCACTGTATGCTGGCGTAGTATATGGACCGTATGTTGGATGTAATTTACCAAAATCGTTCCAGAAATCTGCACAACGTAGTTAGCTGAGGCTGTCGAGCAATCAAGCTAACGGGAAATTGGGGTATATTACCCTGCCAGGTACATGTTGGCGATGAAGGCAGATCGCCACATTCACTATGTTCTTCTGGTGTTAATACCGGAAGGCCGTACTGTGTCGGGTTCAAAGCAGGGTTGTTGGCCAGGTCGTCTCCCACTAACAAACAATTCTATTAATTCAATCAACTTCTTTCAGTTGGGTTTCTTCATTGACTCACAGTTGTTTCCAACTCCTGCCAGCTGAGTAGCTAGGGCATCAAGAGAAATGCGTTTCCAATCAGGTGTCGTAACACGGTTATCCATGCTTTGCTGCGCCTTGATCCGGTTTAGTTCCGGCACATATTTAGTGATGGGGTCTGCAAAGCTAATCTTGTCGCCCAGCATATGTAGTGCTAGGACGGTGAAGACCTTGCTGACGCTTGCTATCCTGAAAACAGTATCACCAGTTACCGTATGTGTCCCTGTGGTGTTGTATAGCTCCGGGGTGTATGACAGATTGGCAAGAATACCATCTTCATAGGCGGATGAGACTGAAAGTGACAGTGCCGTTGCGTTCCCGAGCAGCGCTGCGCCGACCTCTTCTTTCAATTCGTCGAGTTGAGACAAGACTTTTTGGACTGTCGCGTCCGCGGATGGCTTCTTAGGCGCTGGCAGAACTGCTCCCAGTGGTGGACAGTTGGCGACAGCACTGTTCAATGACACAATGGTGTCGGCGAGACCGCGCCCTGACAAGGCTATCAGAGCCCAGGAGCCAAACTTCATATTGGGGGGAGGGTATCGTAGGGCCGGAGAAGAATGTAAGAGAGAGTACTTGTTGAAATGTGACAATAATGAGTGTTTCACCTATAGGCCTGGAGCCGCAAACAGGTAATGCAGCGACCCCTTTATATACATGACTGGGTGCTTGAACAGGCTACAAAGTTACCTGGAGCTTTCCATGGTCAACACATCTCCTAAACAAAAGGAGCGATTACACAAGACTCATCAGAGCCACTGGCCATGTCAACGTAAGCAATAAATAGGCGACCCGACGATCGTTATTTTGTCAATTGAGGCTTTTCGCGCTCGAACGAGAAGGGATCAGACCTAGTTCGGCGATGCGTAAAATTTCCAGTTTTAAGTTCACACCTAACCTACCATAGCAAAAGGACTGACTGGTATCGGGTTTCAGACTTTCAGCTAATTAGCCCCCAGATATTGCCAGCATAATAAAACTGGGTACCACTAAAAAGCGCTTCCTAATTAATAAGTTTAGTTTAAAAATACAAAATGTATCAATATACTAATAAAATAGTATAGCGCAATGTTCATAAAACTCACCGCCTTCCTAGTAGGGTGAAAAGCTTGGTGAAATCTCGCCTGTGCTAGGTCTTTAATACGTGGGCTAATGGCTATGCTCTATGCGAATAGCTGAAAAAAAAAAGCTCCTGAAATTTGCAAAGACGTCCCTGGGGCTTCTATAAATAGGGCTTACTGAGGTACCCACTCCGGTGAAGTCAGCTGCAGTCTCTATTGGCTAGCGGAAGCTTAGCTTGCCACCAACAAGTATTTCAATGTTGGGACCAGCCATTGATATAGGCTAATTTCTTATGCCAATTTTCGAAATAGTACGAAGTTGAACTAGGTTACATAGTCCATGCTTATTTAATCTCTGTGGTCTACGTACTCCTATTCGCCGTTGCGTATAACTGCACAGAGAAGGTTTAAGACCCATCTCCTAATCATCAAAGATGATGGCGGACAATTCAAAGCAGAAAACCAAAAGACTTCGCGCCAACGCTCCTAAAAATAGGACCGGATGTGGTACTTGCAAGTATGTCTTTTTTGTCATCGTTAAAGCTATCGTGATGGAATGGGCTATTTTACTGACTGACATACACCCATGGCAGAATCCGTCATAGGCGCTGTGACGAAGCAAAGCCCATCTGCAACAGCTGCCACAAGACAGGACGTATCTGTGATGGATATATTGATCCCTCGACTGGCAAGAAATTCGGTGGCCATGCTGGCCGCATCTCGCCCTTCTTCGGTCTTGTTCCTCGCACACTCTTCGCCAATGAAGGAGAAGCTCAAGGTTTCCAGTCCTTCGAGACCGCGACTGAAATACAGTTTTCGGCGGCTCTGATGAACAACCCTTGGGCTCCATCATTTCTTCAGCTCGCTCAGCAAGACCCTGCCATCTATCACGCTGTCATCGCCACAGGCATCATGAGCAGGACATATCAAGCAACCCCGGTTTTCTCAACATGGGACTCTCAGTCAAATAGTATGTATCAGGTAGCGTTGCAACAGTATGGCAAAGCTGTTGCTTGCTTCCGGTGGCAGCTTGCGGGGATAAATCTAGACGACGATCATTCACCGTCACCGCCAAATGCTCTTACATGCTGCATACTCCTTATCATATTCGAGTTCATGCAAGGCAACGCCAGTGGTATACGTTTACATCTCAAAAACGCCATCAAATTTGCAGCTGGTCTTGGAAAATGCCCACAGGGGCAATTGTTTGCGAATCTGCTGGCGCTTATAGACATGATCATGATGATGTGGCTAAACCTAGACCAGTCCTATTCAGATATTTCACTACAGATTCCCGAGGTGTACGCAAATAAGATATCCCTGACTCGTCAATCTGATCTGGAAACACTTACCTACGACCTCGTCAACATCAAGAACGAAGTCATGACATGGCGTCATGCTGTATCCGCACGCAGAAACGCAAAAGCACAGGGGATTGGGCCTAATAATACCTCCTACACAGCGAGCTGGCGGACCATCCAGTCTAAATTGGACTTTTGGCACCGAAAATTCACCGCGGTCTCCCCGACTGAGCAAGACATCGCCACACATCGCCCTTCTTTGCTTCGAGTTAACTATCTTGTTACTGTTCTTATTGTTAATGAGGTACATAATAAACAACTGTCAGCACAGTCTCTTACCAAAACCAATCCTACTGCCGGCTCAAATTCGGCGAAACTCGAGTACTTCCAAGAGATCATTGAGCTCATTGAAGGAGTCCTTGAGGCGGGATACTGTTCTAGTCGGTATGATGTTGGGGCTGGAGAAGAGCTGCTCGAAAACACAGGTCTGCTGCCTCTCTTTTCCTTTCGGAACAGTTTCATTCAACCGTTATTCTATGTTGCGCAAAAATCTCCGCATATACAACTGCGTCAAAAGGCTATTCGGCTTCTTCTTAGAAAGCCATGGCGGGAAGGGGCGTGGGACTCTTTCATCATGGGCTCAATTGCACAGGATTCGTTAGACGCTTCGATTTCCGAGGTCTAGTGTGATTTTTATGATTCAATTTTCATAACATAAAGAAGGTTTTGGAATTGAAATCAGCGTTTCCTTTTTTGTTCTTAAAAAAAAAGAACACAGCTAATGCTCCTAGATATTACTTTAAGGAATCTTCAGTGTTTGCAAGTGTCATTTTAAACTCTCAGAATACCAAAAGAGAACATAAAAAGCAAGTCTATACACTTTCTAATAGGCATTTTCAGCCAAATAAAGTCTGGGAATAGAACATCTACTTAAGTTCGAAGTCAAAGGGGTGGGAAATCAAATATGGAAAAAGGAAATAAAGTAAACACACTAGCTACCTAAGTACGTAACAATAGAACTCGACTCAAGTTCTATCTACCTCCGCACGGAAGTAGCTTCGAGCGTTCTATGGCCACTATCGTTGCTTCATCGATATCATCCTTCGGGAGGCCTAGCAAACTATTCATTAAGCGTGCCCTCTTTATGCTCAAAGTTCCCAAACCCGTCAGAATCAAAGACGCGCGTGTACAACTTCTTTGCAAAGCCGGCCGTTTTACCTTCCTCTATCGGATGACTCGCTCTTGGGCTGACACTATCGTGATAATTCAGTCCGAGACCTAGGTGTCGGTTACGCGGAGAACCGATTCGAGCATGTCCTTCTGGCTGATAGTGAAGGAGTTGGTCCAGACTTCTTTGTTTCTGAAGTTTTCAAAGTCCACTCGGATATTTGGGTCTCATACACTCTTCACCCATCTTCCACAAGAACAACCTTTGTCGAGTCTCCATTTCTATATAACGAATTGTGAATTCGGCCCATTCTTCATGACTCCTTCAAGCTGCCGCTGTTGTCAACTGCATTTTCCATGGATCCTGGCTTCTTGACGACCTGATAGCAGAACTTTGAAATAGGATTGCTCAGGAGTCATTGTTAATCGTCGGATACCTAAGTGGTTTATCCGTGCACTTATCATTCGCTTGGTTATTTGAGAAATTCATTTCTGTTTTGTCGGCCGCTTGTCAATATCCGAGATTCCAACAGTACCTAGCCGTGCCGGGACCGCGTACATATACTGCCAATGCACGGGTAGGTACTCTGGCTATGATGTGCAACCCAATCGCCCATCTCAGGTTGAACAAGAGCAGCTGGGTCCCAACACAAATAAAACTGAGTTGGTAACGCTGCATAACGCCGCCTCGTTTCCGGCCCCAGAGCTTTCGCATGGCATATCTTAAGTGGCGAAATGAAATAGCTCTTCTAACCCATGCTTGTCATTAACAAGCCAATATTGTCATGGACTAGATAGCTAACACATGTGTGACTTTGGGACTGACGGGGCCTTCAGTCATCGCCTTCGTGTTACACCTGTGTCGACCTTGGAGGACACTCAAATAGAACTTTCAGTAGCTAGATATAATGCGTATCAATGCCCAGTCTAATGTTACAATCTCCATGCTTTCCTTTCACAAGAAACAACCAGAGTGCAATTAAAGATTTTCCGGCATGACAGTCCAACTTTCTAGGAGGGTTCGTCTCAGATTGATCATCATAATCACAGCGTCTTTCTTCGCAGTTGAGATAGCCGGTAATTGCTTGTCCTTGGGGTTGTACATTGACAATGAGCTTATCGTTCCTTTTGCACTCATATAGTTGGTTTCTATTCTCGCTCACTCGCGCTGATCGCCGATGCATTTCACTACGCACGTTGAACAAGCCCTGTGAAAATCCGTGTATATGACTTCTTGCTAAATTTGTCTCTCAGCTCAACGACCTCTTCGGATTCGTCATCGCGCTAGTTGCTTTGGAGGTATGCATGATATTCCATATTTATTTATTTCTTTTTTATTTGGCGAAGCAAATGGCTAAACAGGCACGCAGTTGACCGAAAGTAGTCAACCGCCACCGCGTTGGCTTCCATTCGGATGGCAACGAGCTCAAACCCTCGGTGCTTTTTTCAATGGTGTGTTCTTATCTGCCCTCGGAACTAGCGCAATTTTGCAGTCTATTGAGAAGTTTATATACATGCATAATGGTATACACCGTGTGTGAACAGGCAAGAAGATGGCTAGTGCTGACTACAAAATACTAGACGTCCTCCACCCAAAACTCGTGTTGGTGGTAGGTAGTGTTGGCTTGGCGTTAAATATCTGCAGCATCATATTTGTGCACGGTGTGTCCTCTAAATCACTGGCCACGGCAATGCTGATTCATTACTGGTATAGATCACAAACCGAACGACAGCCACGCAGACTCAACTGCAGAACTATCATATGGAGAGAACTACGGAAACACTACCGCGGAAATGGTACCCTAGAAAGACCCTTTGTTCGGAGTAATATGCTTCATGTGCATGCTAACCATGACAATGAGGCATCTGCAGGGTACTCCCCACAAACCGAAATACGAACTCGGCTCTCTTAGTATTATGTTACACCTTATCGGAGATGCTTTGAACAACATTGGCGTTATAGTATCCTCACTAGTCATTTGGCTGACGAGGCACGATGGTCGGTATTATGCGGATCCGGTGGTTAGTATGGCGATTGCAATAATGATTCTTATGTTTTCTATGCCACTGGGTATGTTTAAGTGAAATTGCTTCTACTCTCTCAACTTCACCGCTGACAGGACATCCTTAGCCCTAAGTTCCGGTCGTATTCTTATACAAAGTGTTCCGACGAACGTCAACATGGAGGATGTGAAGACACATCTCAAAGCTGTCAGTTCTATTCCAGCTCTGTATTTGATTGTATGTCTTTGTTTAGTATTCGTGTTTTACTGAATTCCTCCTGAGGTCCCCGGTGTTCTCACTATTGACGAACTTTGCATCTGGCGCCTCAATCAGCATACAAATATCGGCTCTGTGCATGTTGTTCTCGATGGAAATATTAATATATCAGAGTTAGGAGGTGTGATGGACGCAGTTCGTCAATGTCTCTGCGCATTTAATGTGCACTTCGTTACGATCCAGCCGGACATCTCACAGATGCCCGTTCTGAAGCAAAAGCAGGGCATAGGTAAAGACGCCAGAAAAGGGAATACCATTGTTGTAGAAGAAGATTACATTTGATAAGTGATGGATAATTAATCCAAATATGTACTTTTACATGAAATAACTAGGGTCAGCTTTCAAATGCCTGAATTATGAATAAGTCGGGGGCGGGGGGTGGGTTATCATGTATGTTAGATAGCAGACAAGGAATCTAAATTCAGATATGCTTTTGTTCTATAATTTTATCCAATGTTTAATCACTGAAGAAAAAGAAAAGAAACGAAAAGAAGCCTAACCACAACACGATTCTCCCAATCCAACACCTTGATCTGTCAATATGAAACCCTCTCCGACCATAAGAGATAGCATCTAGAGTAGAGCTCTCGGGGCATCGACCTCCATTGGACTGCTAACTGGAGAACGACTCTTCAAATTCGTCAACGGAGACTACTGTTACTTGCGTTGTCGTGTTGTCAGCAGCAGACAGACCCCTTCCAGAGCCAGCGCGAGGATCACGATCGATTTGATTCGACGGACCAGCATGCAGGCAGCCTGTCTCAAAGCACTCAACATCGGCTGTCGTAGGGTCAACGGAAGTCTGTTGGCTGCTGGTTACCATTCTTTGCTGTTCATCCCTCCGCCTCTCTTCCCTTCTCTGTCTTCTTCTCTCCTGCCGTTTCTTCATCTCCCTTCTCAATGCCTTCTCCCGCCTTTTGTAGATCTTCGTTTTGACAGTCATCTTGCGTAACTTCTTCTCCATCTCGTCCCGTTCGTCTCGATGAATTTCATTGATGATTTGATCGAATTCAAACGTGTGTGTGGCGTCTAGATGGCCGGATTGGATGTAATGGCCGACAACCCAGATGCAGCCCTCGATGTCTTGGGCGACAGAGTTTAACAGGTTTCTTTTCTCTGCCGAGGACAGATGGGCGATGAGATGCGGATTTTTGCTGTTGTGCAGACGGAGGACAGAAAAGCCGGGCTTGGGAATGGCCGGGCGTGGCATCTTTCTTGTGTTCACTGTTCGTGTTTTCGTGTTCTTGGGAGGTTGCCTAAGAGAGTACTGAAGTCGTGGGGAGTGATAGATTTGGGAAGGTAGTCAATTAGGTAGGAAATGCCAGCCAACTTTGAAGGAGGTTTAGAGTTGTTGGTAAGGAAGAGGATTTACAGAAGTGTTGGGCGGAAGATGTTTGGATTTATATCTTCACAGTATTTAGAATTCCTAGGTGCCACTATCTTTGTCACAGATTCTTGTGGACAATCCGGTTAGAGGCAATACAAGTAGGCAACAAAAAACACTGAGATGGTTACAAAGATGCGATTGGTTGATTAAGAACGGATAACCTTTGTTGCGGCAACATTGTGAAAGACAATGGCGCATTCAGTAACAATCTCATATTACTCATGCTTTTTTGAATCAACAGACATGCTGAACAACTTTTGATATATTATTAAGCACTACTCATAAAGGTTACATTTGCCACTCCGTTGATTACGACTCTTCCTGAAGTCAAAGAATCCATTCATTCATATCTTGTAATTCAGTCTTTTTGGTATCATCTAGCACAATCAACATTGACCCTTTTAAGTATTTGTCAGAAAGATTTTGACAAAGTATATGTATTTTCATTTTCCTTGATCAATTGGTTGAGCCTGAGAACCTAGATACCTGAGCCGTTGATGTATGTTTGAGTTAGGGTTTATTCTATCACGGGACTTCTTGGGAAGCCGAAGAGTTTTGACAGCATCAACAGAATCCATGCCTACCTAAACCGTCGAATGCCATCTAGGTACTTTCCCTATAAATTTAGCTAACTGACAAGAACCTGGCCAGATTTGGTACTTTATAATCCTTGTGTGTGGCGACTGGTTTTGATGAGAAACATGCCCACGTCAGAAGATACATATATTCCCTTCAGAAGGTTGTAGGATATTACCTAGCATAACCGCACAAATATTAGAAACAAAAAAGGTGATCCCTCATCAATTACTTGCTATGACAATATGAAATCAAGTACATTTCTATTCAATACTCATCCATTTTGCGACCTATATAGAAAGTCGTCGGAGATAACACGGCGTTGGCGGGCTACAATGCTTTTGGCCTAGCTCATAACTCAGATAACGATACCACCTTCCCAAACAGGGAAGACGGATTCAGCCTCCCAACACTCCAGCCGATTTTCAACTTCCCAGGCAACATCTTAATTCATATGTCTATGCATGCATTCGTATCAACCGCTGTTTCGATTGAATTAGTTCCAAATTGCGAATAATCGATCACCGTTTCAAAATGCGTGTCTGTTTTGACGAGAAGAGTGGTTCCAAGCTGCCATCCCGCCCAGCACCAACAGCTGAGCATGACTCGACACCAACTGATGGTGATTTAATAGGAGTGAAGGCCGATATTCTGATTCCCGGTCGTGGTGAGCCCATTGAAAACGGCGCGCTCATAATCGACGGCCCAAAGATTGCTTGGGTTGGTCAGCAATCTGCCATTCCGGGACAATATGCGAACGTTGGATTCAAGCATGTTCCTGTCCTGATGCCTGGCCTATGGGACAGCCATACGCATTTCCAGGGAATAGATCCTGAGGAAGGTGACTCCCTTCTGCCTGTTTTTGGCTCGGTCGCCATGGCGGGTGCGTGTGCTGCCAAGGAGCTTGAAACCGTATTAATGGCTGGTTTTACTACTGTGCGCGAACTTGGTGGGCTGGCAGGAGATATATCTCCCGCAATAGAAAATGGTACTTTGGTTGGCCCTAATATATTCTCGAGCATTGGTCTCTTGGGTATAACAGGGGGTCACTCCGACGTGCACGATATCCCAATCGAAGCAGTACTAGATTTAAAACGTCGCGGGGCTCCAAATCAGGTGTGTGACGGCGTCACGGATTGCATCAAAACTGTACGGATGATGGTCCGGCGAGGCGCGAAGGTGATCAAAGTCTGCGCAACCGGTGGTGTCGGCTCGCTGCTGGATGATCCGGAAGATGCACAATTCTCACCCGAGGAACTCAAAGCAATTGTCGACGAGGCAGCGCGCACAAAAAGAGTTGTTGCAGCTCACTGTCATGGAAAGGAGGGTATTATGAATGCTCTCAATGCTGGTGTAAAAACAATCGAACACGGGAGCTATCTAGATGACGAAGCTATCGCGTTGATGAAAGAGAAAAATGCCATCCTCATTTCGACCAGGGCTGTTATTGTCGGGGGCATCAAAAATCCCCAAACCTTACCGCCAAGCAGCTATAAGAAATTGCTGAAAATCAGCGAGCAACACAGAAAGGCATACGAGTTGGCCATCAAGTCTGGAGTCAAGGTTGTGCTTGGTACAGACTGGCTTTCTGGCGAAAATGGAAAAGAACTTGCCTATGCGGTTGATGCAGGTATGTCTCCGCTGCAGGCTATTGAGGCTTCTACGGCCCTCAGTCCAGAGACTCTGGGTTCTCATTTTGCTCCTTTGTCTGGGCAACTGAAGGAAGGATATGACGCGGATATAATTGCAGTGGCGAGTAATCCGTTGAAAAATATTAAGATCCTGGGCGAACCCAAGAACGTCACGCATGTGTGGAAAGGGGGGAAACTGTACAAGAAACCTTAGGTGGTGGAAGACTGTCCAATAGTGATGATGATGATGATGACGACGATCAAACTCGTTCAAAAATGTGAATTGTAACCATTTTACACCAGATGTAGTCAGAAGCCTGTATTGAAGAAGTGTAATATAATTCCAGACATTCTTAGACTCTATATCTTTATCTTTGTCTATATCTGCGTACAAGTCAAAAATTCATTGTTCAAAGGGCCGATGAACATACGACTCTGCTTTTCTCTCATACCTATTCTTGTGTCCGTGGAGCCAATGGCCATGCGGATCAAACAAGGAAGTATATATCATCAGTCATAAAAGTGGGTGACAAGCGGATCAACTGTTGAGTTTCCATATGCATTCCCTCCGTATGTCAGATAGCCTTCCACTAGATCAGGTGTCGTGCCATGGGTAATTTCTGTCGCGTTACCCATTACCCAGACTGCCTGCATTCCCATGATCATGTGCTGCAGGATATGGCAGTGGATTATCCAGATACTGCGAAATACCTGTGAGTAGACATTTTCTCTCCGAGAAAAAGAATAGAAATTGCTTACCCAGGATCGGTCACCCTAACCCTCCAAGCTCTCCATCCTTGACTGGTGTAATCAAGGCCAGCACCAATTTCGAATCCCTCGGTATACTTGAATAATAAGCTAGTATCCCTCACAATTGGATTGTATCCCCTCAGCTTCTCCTCGTTTGCCGTGGCATTGTAAGAACCTGGCCCACTCCCAAGATCATAAAAATGAGCACCATGAAAATGCCACGGATGCGTGTCAAATCCGCCTGCTACTCCATTTGGTTCGTTCACAAGGATTATGTCAATAATCTCGCCGATTTCAGCCGGGTACACGTTGAGTTCAGGGTCCCATCCATTGTAATTCTGGACGGCATTTTCAAAGTCCGGGATTGCTCGTTCGCCCTGCTCGTACACGCTGACAAGGTAAGGGGTATCATGCGTGAGACTAGTGTCGTTATACGGAGTGTCTCCTTCATGTTGGTTAAACTCATTCCAGGTATGATTACTTATGGTCCAGAAAGATCCACTCGCGGTGTTCAGTTGTGCAGAGGTCATGATCACCTGTCGAGTTACTTGATCAGCGGTGGGAAAGTCATTTGGTGTCAGCGGCTCCAAGGTATATTCTAGCCAATACTGACAATCATACGGGATATGCACCGGGGATTGAGGAGGAGGTGATGAGATGTCGGTTGTCGTATTGATATGGATGCCAGGAGTCGTGTACCGGAGGACTGCATAGAAGGTATTATTCAGATCAGGACATCGCGGTTCAATTGGCACCCAAAATTCACTCTTTCCAAGGTTCCGCAGCTCTTCTTCCGTTTTGGTATGAAGTAGGAAGTCATACCGTTGGCCTGCTCCCATAAGGATGTAGTCTGTGCTTGCTGGGTTGGTATAGCCAGCATCTGCAGCGATCACAGTGAGGTTGTCGTGGTTTTCGAATGCAAAAACGAATGGGCTCATTGCCACCCCACCTATGGCGCGAAAACGGTATGTCTTGTTTGGCTCGACTTGTATGATTTCTGGACCACAGGATGTGCTACCAATACTCTGGGCTTTCTGAGGGGGCAATGTTGCCCCTGTTTCATTGTCGGGCAATACTGGAAAGCCATTACCATTGACCAAGATAGTCTCGGCTTCTCCAGACCTGATTTTAGAAAAAAAAAAAAAAATCGTATGGATCAGCAATGCAAGGTATTATATATACAAGCTTGGTACTTGTTTGTACTTGTTTCACTTACCATAGAAACTGCGCGTAAGGAAGGGTAAGACCATCCTGGATTGTGTCGTCTGTATTATTGTAAAGCTCGGAGAAAAAGAGCATTCTCTCTTCGTCGTAATCATATGGATGTTCTCCGTCTGCCTCGAGTACAATCAGGGGGCCCGCAGCAGAGACTGCTTGGAACGCAACATGAGAATGATAGAAATAAGTGCCCGCTTCACCGATCTGTGGCCGCAATTCGTAGTCAAAGAAATGCTGTGCCTCCTTGCTGTTAGTATGTTGGACTCCGATACTGCAGTAATATGATATGAGCTTACCCTGATAGGCCATTGACTCGCCTGGGGCGTTCCATCTGAATACGGGGCTACAGATTGGCTTAATCCGTGCCAATGCTATAAATGGTAACACGGTCAGCATATCTCAAGTCAATGATGTGTTGCTTAGTTGCGGGCCATAGACTTACTATAGTCGCGTTGTCTTTGTTAAGATCATTGTATACTCTGACCCAGGTCGTTTGGTTTTCCCTTAGATAAACAGTTGGGCCAGGTGCAGTTTCTAGAGGCAGCAGGCGAGAGCAAAGTCAATTCTGGGTCATGAAGAGAACCGGTCTTTGATAAACGGGGCCAAATATCTCACCATTCACAACAGCAGACGCTCGTGTTCTGCATGCAACGGAAATAGTTTCACCAGTAATTCGAAGGACGTAGTCTGGCTGGAAACTGCTGTCATGCATGACCTGACGTAGAGCCGTAGCCAACGGCAAACTAGCCAGGAGGAAATGAAGCCTAAGGGAAATAGAAAGCCACATGGCCAACAGCGGCTGTGAGGCCATCGAGAAACTGCTGGATCTCGGATATAGGTTTGTAGCTTATAGGCGCGAGGTTAGGTTTTCTATATTCATAATATTGCACCAGGCAACGGTATGCAAAAGACCGATACATATAGCTCCCGGTATATAAATCAACAGGCGCTGGCGTACAAACAAGATGAACTTGCTGGAGAAAACCGGCGTTTGGTCACTAACTGAAACATAATATCTTGGTGCATTCTGATTTGCAGCTCAAATGCAGCAGTTGGGCTGCTGATCCCAACAAAGCACAAATGCGCAAACCTAACCGCGTTAAGAAGCCGACGCCGTAGGCCTGCTTAACACCGATGCCCGCTATAATCCATGCATCTTATTTTGCATACTGCGTACGTAGTTGCTCGAAAACCTCCAGAAAATGACATTTATAATTGGTTCACTGTCATTCGCAAAACGCCGGGAATCAGTGACAATGAGAGCAAACAAGCAACGTAGTTCGGGGGCGAGTTCGGTTTTGAATCTGCTTGGAGATTATCACGATATGCATGATGGTACTGCCAATACCAGCGAAGGGCACGTAAGTAAACCAATACGGTGGGCGAAAGCAGAATCAATCGAGCGTGGTATAGTTGTGACAACAAACTGCTACGGTAATTGACAACCTAAATCGGATAGTAGACTCTGAAAATGTACTATGCTAGGCTATACCTACTCAATGAATACATGCAACATACAATTGTGAACACTTTATTTAAAGGTGTCCGTAAATGTGGCGGTGTCGCACATCAAGGGCATGTTGTGAGACAATATGCTGAGTAATGAAAAAAGAAAAGAAAAGAAGAGAAAAGAACCTAGGAGACAGAAACTTAAGCTAATAAGAGCTCTATCCTTCTGACTCGCGTAAATCGAACATAACATATCCCGTTTTATTTTTGTATCCGCCCAGCCAGTTTATTGGGAGAGGTGGCGATGAAAAGGTAGTTGACATCGAATACGTACGCCACGTAAGTCGCACTCAGCAAGACGATGGGTTAGATGAAGAACATGCGGATCGGACGTTTTACGTTGTCAACAATTTTCGTGTACAACGGTAGGTCGACATCTCCACCAAGGTAAAGTTCGTGATTGCCCGTTTCCTTAATCAATCGAGCCTTTTTCTGCCTGAGCATTGTCGCGCCGTGAGACTTTTGAAGGGCAAAGTAGCCATAAACTTGAATCACTATTGCCGCAATACTGGACGACCCAAAGACCCAACGCCATATATAATACTCAGCAATTCAACCGCCGGCAACTGGAGTAAGGACCGGGCCAAGGATTGGTGCTAGACTGTACGTGCCCATGGCTCTGTCACGTTTTTCAACGGTCCAAATGTCACTTCTGAAAGAACGGATTAGCACTGCAAAGATTACGAACTCTCCACAGTGAGCACTCACCCTATCGCTCCGCCTTCTACCGCGAGCGGAGCACTCGCACCGAGGCCAGCCATAAAACGGAAGACAAAAAAATCGGCCTCGTTCTGGGCGAAGCCGCAGACCAAGCTCCACAAGAAGTACCATAGATTGCTGGCCTGTAACATGCAATTCCGACCATAGACCTCCGAACAGGGACAAAAGGAAAAAGGCCCAATATCATAGGCGATAATGAAGATGGAGAGCGCTAGCTCACCCTCAAACTTCGCTCTTCATATGGATGTCGTGACCTAGTTGCGCTATGGCGGGGCCATCATGGATGACGAGACAAGCGAAATGAAGGTAAACAGAGAAACTCCGATGGCGTACTTCCACTTGGCTTTTTCCGGCCAATTCTTCGGGTTCTCAGTGTCATCCGGTCCTTCCCACGTCACCAGACTGAGATTCTCTTGGTTGTTCGCACCATTTTTGTTGTCATTCTTAAACCTCCAGGTCTACAGGGTTGTCCAACGGCTTTCTCCTCTCCCCCGATGGAAGGCCGTTTGGTATGGTGCCGTTCCGTTCTGAATACAAACTCGAAGCCATGGCCGTACAGTCCAAGCAGAGAGAGCTCTGGTGAGGACAATGTGCTACCGAGCGCGGGCGTTGTTGTCGTTCTGATCTTTAGGGATTTTTGTGTAGTGATCCCTTGTAAAGAAGTAGCTCAAGTAGTGAAAGATGGAGAAATGGCCCTAGCCCTAAGCCTGATAACTAAGTGTACCGGCCGACGGAATATCCGACCCAATCATGCGTTTGCCTTTTTGGCAATTGCGAACGTTGGCACAAAACAATGGCAACAGAGATGTCGTGGTGTGGCGATTCCAAGCACCGACAGATAATAGAAGGCGAGACACCATTGGCAAGTGGAGCACTTCAATATCCTTGACCTCTACCACTTCTAGATGATGGCATGCGCCGACCGAGTGGCTGTCGTAGTAGCCATCATTGTGATGTAAATGTATTTGATGAGTGCTTGAGAATATTGAAGGAATAGAGCTCTGTATATAAATATAGATATTCATACGCATTTATACATGCATGTCTAGGCCGGACTTCTTACCCTTTCTATACGTACATCGTGTAGCGGATACAGAGTACGGAGTTTCCTTAGGTTCTTAGACACGGCTTTTATTACGACCACGGGATACCCTCCTCAGGAGGAAGAAAAACTTACCTTATATTGGTCAGGAAGTGCTGGGATTCCCTACGACGTGGACTTTGTACTCACTGGCGTATTTGTATTCAAGTCAGCCACATCTTTTGAATTGCTGCAAACGCTCTGGGCGATTTCCAAGTTGCATTCACGGTTTACTACAAGCATCGAGAAGACGGCTAGGAGGTAAATCGCGAACATAAGACAATGGTCCGCCGGTGTTGCACACGGCAAGTTTTGGTACGTTGTTGCAACGAGATTATGTGCAGATGGGCTGTGTAGGAATTTGTAGATAGGCTTCACGTTCTTCGCATATATCTCCCAGAGTCACGTGTCGTCCGTGGCGGATGGATGATACTCCAGAAGGTTCTAGGGAGTGCCCAAGAGCCCGCGTGAAAGCGAGACTGAGGGAAAGTAGGAGTCATGTCGGAGAAATCACCTGCCGCGCCAAAGATATCCACTTCGACTAATTCGCCAAGACCATGATTCTCAACATCACACCACAGATTGCTGTTAATGTATCGCGAATTGCTCCCATCCAGGATGAGTCTGCCTGTCGACGCTGCAGTCTCTGCGTCTGCGGTGGTGACCGGTCTCAATACTGGTTGTGTCATCTTCTCCGTGGCGAGGCCATGCTGGGCAAGGATACGCTCAAACCTTTCGAGACGCCCATTGATGTATTCTGTGGCGTTGCGTTTCCGTGAACCTGCGGCCGCGGCATCCTCATACACACGTTTCAACTAATGTCGTCGACTCGCAGCGCAAGCTGGGCACTCTTTGTCACAGTTGATTTTGCAGGTTGCGCAATTGAAACATACGAAGCTCTTGGTTAAAGACGGCGGACGGGTGACGCTACACCGTTGGAATTTAGCTGAGGTCGGTTGGCCGTTAGCACAACGCAGTATCTTGAAGCTTGAGGATGTAGAGATAAGAAGTCTCACAAAGGGACGCGCAGATCGAGGAGCGCAAGGCATATTGGAGAAGCTGCATCCGAACGTCATGATCAAGCCTGGCCATGGAGAGCGTAGGTCAAGCGCATATTAAACTAGTATTACTTGATTGGGCTAGTCGAGGATATTTCCAGCGCACCACGGCCGGATCGGTGTGGATCTTCACACTAACTCTAACCAGAATAGGAATTATGACCCACTTTTGTATACTATACCAACTTGGTGCTAACCCAATTAAGAATAGTTCCTTTGGAATATTCAATTTGTACTCAGTTTCTACTCAAAGCTAGAATTTCATTTCACATTTAATTGAACGTTCTTCGAAGTCTTTCAAATTTCTTCAAATTTACCATGCCGGCCAGCTCCAGCACTGAACCTCGCAGCTCCCTCGACACTCTCCAAACTAATAACTTTGATCCCATTGTCGTATTCGAAACGCAGTGCATCCTCGAAAGAACTAGCATTGTAGACAGCATAATAACATGAGGTGCGATCAGAATTCATGCTGCCTTGTGGAAATTTCACAAGCTGTAGTGATATCTTGGTTGCCTCTTCAAGCGCCTTACCCTTGGGAACGATTCGATTGACCAAACCCATCATGAGAGCCTCTTGCGCTCCAACCCCCCTGCCTGTCAGAATCATATCCATAGCTCGACCAAGGCCAACAATAGCTTGAAGACGGACCGTTCCACCGTCGATGAGAGGTACCCCCCAGCGTCGAGAGTACACACCAAAGATAGCATCCTCCTCAGCAACACGCATGTCTCCGAGCAAACTCAGCTCGAGCCCACCGGCGACAGCATATCCGGACACAGCGCTGATAACCGGCTTGCGAATTTGCATCCTAGACGGTCCGATCGGCCCAATATTGCGGCCCTCGACACGTTCGGATTGGCCTATTCGAGGGCCGGTATATTCGCCAGCTTCGTGCTCCCCAAACTTTGCAACCTCATGCAAGTCAAATCCAGCGCAGAATGTCCCATTGGCGCCGTAGAAAACACAAACTTTTTGGTCATCATCGTTTTCAAATTCTAGGAATGCATCAGTCAACTTTCTGCCAGTCGGGCCGTCGATGGCATTTCGGCGGTGCGAACGGTTTATCGTGATTGTAGTGATTCCTTCTGTAGATTTTGTGACTTGAACAGCATCAGGTTCCTTGTCTATGCTGGAAGAGGCGGTTCTATTATCCATTTGAAGCTGGTATGGCTTAGCAAGGAAAGGGTCTGCCCGAGACATGAAACGCTGCCTCAACTGGGATAAAGACTTTTATGCTCTGTCAGAAAATTCCAGGCCCACGCTTACCGGGTTACTGAAGGCTTTCAAGGTTATCTTATAGTATTAAATTCATAGTTTCTAAGGTTGCAATGTCCGTGCCAATGCCTTGCTAAGAAGAATTTGCGATTATAATCATGTGCAGAAAGCCACTCAGCCTTCCCAGCGGATTATGAATTACGAGATTAGTAAACACAATTTTCCCTTTCTTTAAAATACCACGTCATTAACATTACGCTGCGCAGAGTGCATTTGCATAGCATGTTCGGTGGTTATTGGACGCCACCTACAGCAACCCCCGATTCTAGCCCACTACGTCGGGGCATTCAGATCGCTTATTGTAGCCTAATACGTGCACTATTGCACAGGCTGAATCAGCCCCGCCTCGAGGTTGTAGGACTAGTTCACAAATATCTACAGAGACATGGTGGTAACCATGTAACACACTGGCTGTTTAACTAATCACTTCTCTTTCTAGCTTCTCAGAGGTGCAAAATGATCTCCGGTCTTCATTCCTAAAACCGGAACCAGAAGGATAATCTACATCATGGCTGAAGCATTGGCCTTGATTGGCCTTGCGTCGGCAATCGTCCAGTTCGTCGAATTCGGGACGAAGCTCTTGAGTCGCTTACATGAATTTAGTGACGATGTTGGGAATATGCCAAAGGTGTTTCAAGACACTAAAACTCGACTACCACTAATCATCAACACATTAAAGCGTACCAAGGAACAGGCGGAAGCTGGCACTGTTGCAGGTTCGGTGGCGAGTGCACTTCATCCTCTAGTCGATGGGTGCACGGAGCAAGTAGAGCTCTTGTTCAGCATTGTTGATAAAAATCTCCCGTCGGCCAAAGCGAGTACTTGGGAGAGAAGATTGAAGGCTCTGAAAAGTATCGCAGTCGACAAGGACGTGCAGAAGATAAGCGCTTCGCTAGATCGTAATGTCCAGGCATTGATATTTCATCAAACGACGGTCAGGCTCGACAATATCACACTAAACACAGCAAAAAGCGCAGACAAAATCTCTCTAGAGCCGTACTGGGTCGTGCCTTTTCTGCAAAATCCCAAGTTTGTAGGTCGCTCCTCCGTGATACAAGAACTCGAGGCAAAACTAGGACAAGATGTATTTGGTCGTCGGCTTGCACTGTCGGGACTCGGAGGTGTAGGGAAATCCCAGGTGGCTGTTGAAATGGCCTACCGTACAAGAGACAGATGTTCCGGTTGTTCTGTTTTTTGGGTCCCTGCGACAAGTCCCGAAGCATTCGAAGCTGCATATCTGGAGATTGGGCGTCAGTTGAACATAAATGGCCTTACAGATCCGGCTGTAGATGTCAAATCACTCGTGAAAGCTCGCCTCAGTGATGAATCTATTGGCAAGTGGTTCATGATAGTGGACAATGCGGACGATCAAAACATGCTGTTCAAAAACATTGGCAGCGAAAGGCAACAGGTTACTCTGATGGACTATCTTCCCAGGATATCGCATGGTGACATCTTGTTTACGACACGAAACCGCAAACTAGCTGTGAAGTTGGCAGGAACAAACGTCGTCGCAATTTCGGAAATGGACGAAGGCGCAGCGGAGGAGCTCCTGCGCAAGTCCATTATTGATGCTGATATTCTAGACGATTCAGCGGTTACAGCAAGGTTTCTGCGTCAGCTCACTTACCTTCCCCTCGCAATCGTACAGGCAGCTGCCTACATTAATGAAAACAGTATCTCTGTGGGGGAATATTTGGACATGCTCGAAGGCACGGAAGAAACAGTCGTGGAGCTACTAAGCGAAGACTTCGAAGATGATGGAAGGTATCGCGAGTCAAAAAACCCGGTTGCCACCACGTGGCAGATCTCGTTCGAACAGATACGATCTCGAGACCCATTGGCCGCCAGATACCTTTCCTTTATGGCCTGTTTTGATCCGAAAAATATACCACTTCGTCTGCTCCCTACGGAAATCTCAAAGAAGAAACAGATTGACGCTTTCGGGACGTTGAAGGCGTATTCTTTCCTGACCGTCCGCAGTGATCAGGGCTTTGACCTTCACCGACTGGTGCATATGGCAACCAGGGACTGGTTGTTTATGGATGATTCCCTAGAGGATTATACGCAACAGGCGACCGAAAGATTAGCCGAAGAATTTCCCACCAGCGAACATGATAAAAAAGCCATTTGGACTGCCCTCATGCCGCATGCACAATATATATTAGCATCGTCGCTAGCCATGGAGTCCAAGGAACGGTATGAGCTGATGCAGAAGGTATCACTGTGCCTGTCCGCAGACGGCAAGTATGAGGAGGCCGCAAGGTTCCAATCCATGACATTAGCTCGGGCTGAGCAGACCCTTGGTCAAGCACATCCAGAGACAGCGATACACGTGCAGTTATTAGCCAAGCTAATGCAAAGCATGGGAAAGTATGATGAAGCAGTTACACTCAATATGCGCGCAATGGCCGTCTTGGAAAAGGTGCACGGGTCTGACCACACTAGTGTACTCACAACCTTGAACAATCTGGCCATGAATTATCAAGCCCAGGGTCGGCTCAGTGAGGCGCAAGGGCTTTTCAAGCGAGTAGTCGAGGAAAGTAAGCTCAAGCTTGGTGAAGAGAATTCCGAGACACTGAAGAGTATCGGGAATCTGGCCACTAATTATACGACTTTGGGGGACTGGACCCAAGCCGAGGAAATGCTGTTGAAAGCCATCGAGGTGTCCAAGCGTATTAATGGACTGGAACACCCTGAGACCCTATTATACATGAACAACATATCCGTCACGTACAGTTTCCAGCGAAAGCTAGATCAAGCCGAGGCAATGGCCAAGCAGACTCTGGAACTCAGAACAAAGGTGCTAGGCCGCGATCATCCTGATACCCTGTTAACCATCAACAATCTGGCCTTGAGTTACATTAACCAAGACCGATTCGACGAGGCTGAGACGCTATTCCAGGAAGTGATTCGGGTTAGTACGAAGCTGCAAGGGAAGGACCACCCGGACACGTTAATCGCGGTGTCCAATCTCGCGAGTATCTATTTGGCCAAGTCCGACTGGAAGAATGCGGAAGAGCAGTTTGCCCAAGTGCTGGAAACACGAAGGAGCTTTCTAGGACGATATCACATGAAGACCATCAACGTTGCGGCTCGTTTAGGCTTCGTCTACCATGAGAGCGGGCAGACAGAAAAGGCGGAGCAATTGCGGACGGAAGTAGAGGCTGCGACGCCGGTGCTGATGATGCAAGGTATTGCACCAGCCTGGGTGACATTCAGGAAGTCAGATGATCCAGCTGGGTTTTGGGAAGTTGTTAGGAAGATATGCAGCCCCGAGGCACGCAGGCATGGGATGCAAGTATTTACGGGGTGATGAAAAATCTACCTGCCTTTTTCCTTTATTTTCCCTTTTCTTTTCGGATGCTACAATGCAATGATGCCAAGAAGCAATGACTAAAAACATATGTTTACCGACATGTAAATAGTATACGCCATGGAAAAAGAGGCGTATGGACCCGGCAAGTCCGAGCGAAAGAGGAAAAGGCGTGCGAAAAAAAGACGCAAAAACCCACCGACGCGGCGTGCTGATTCGCCGTTCTTGGTCCAGACTCCACCCATTTTTTGACGTAGTTATTTTTTATCAGATTGAAAATCCATGCTATCCGTCTAGTGCCCACAACAACATGAGCCCACTGGAGCTGATGGGTTAGTATGTAATTATTTAGATGATACGTATTGTACACGGGCATTGGGCGTGTTCGCCGTAATATTACGCTCTGAGTACTAATAATACGGCTAGCTGGCCGACCATCGGAGAGCAGCGCAGCCAATCAGCGGTGGGGCTGATAAGATTATCAGATCCGCTTTGGAGCCTAACAAAGTCAAAGTTATCTGATCCGGCCACGCTCCTTCCGGGGCCTGCCTTCCCCTCCTGCCTTCTTTCCTAAGAAAAAAAAGTGAAAAATAGACTGCACGTGCCTCCGCCCCACGCCGGCCATGCAACCTTCCTGGTCGTATATCAAATGGTTACATTATATAACATGTCCGCCGCTTCTCTTTTGCATTTTCTGCTTTTCTTCTCCCGAGCCGTTTCTCTCGTCTCTTCCACCTCTTCTGAAACTACTCAGAGCTCGACGTCATGGGTGTTATCGATCGCATTCGCGGCCGCGATACTTCCCAGCTCAATGCTGCGGCGCATAACCCCAGCCCTGTCGACGAAAAATCCGTCAGTCAGCCGCAAGATGTCCCGGTCAGCGACTCGGATACCTTGAGTCTCGAGGCTCGTGCTGCAAAGGAAGTCGAGGCCCATCCAGACCAAATCACCGCTGATGCAGCTGCCGGTGTCCAGAAGGCAGAAGCCACTGCCATGGTCTGGGGCAAGAAGACCGTCTATGCAGTTTATGCCTGGTAAGCTGCTCTTTTTCTCGTTCTTCTCTTAAAGCTCTATATTCATAGGCTCCGCAGGATTTGGGTGTGCTATTTCATGCTGGCGTTCCAGTCTGCAGTGGGCAACAATTTGCTTTTCGCTGCCTACTCGGATTTCTCCACAGCCCCTGCCATCACCACTGCAAATATTTTGGCTGTCATCATTGGCGGTGTGATCAAACTGCCCATTGGAAAGATTATCACTATCTGGGGCCGTGCTGAAGGCCTTGTCGTCTTCGTGGTTGTCTACCTTGTCGGTATTATCATACTCGCCGCATGTACTGGTCCGAACTCGTACGCTGCGGGTTATGTGTTGTACTGGATCGGTTATGATGCCATCTACTTGATTCTAGATGTTTTTATCGCCGATACCTCAGGCCTGCGCAATCGAGCTTTCGCCTTTGGATTCTCTAGCACCCCATTCATTTGCACCGCATTCACTGGCTCTTTGGCTGCTTCCTCATTTATCAAGACCAGTGGATGGAGGTGGGGCTATGGTGCATTCGCCATCATCATGCCATTTGTGTTTCTTCCGCTGGCTATTGTTTTCAAGCTATATCAGCACAAGGCCTATAAAATGGGCCTTTACCAAAAGGAACCCAGTGGCCGTACATTGGCGCAGTCCGTTGTCCACTACTTCATTGAATTCGACTGTGAGTGACTGAGCATACACTGCTGCAAGAATTTCCAATTGGCTGACCCTAGTTTCTGCTCATAGTGATCGGTGCATTCCTGCTTATGGCAGCATTCATCCTTTTCTTGCTTCCTTTCAGCTTGGAGTCATATTTCCGTATTACTTATCAAAGCGCCGCTTTCATCGTCATGGTTATCCTTGGAATTTTGCTATTCCCTGTCTTCGCTATTTGGGAGGCATACTTTGCACCGAAACAGTTCGTACGATGGGAGCTTTTCAAAAGCCGTACGGTGCTTGGTGCATGCATTCTCAGTGCTGTTCTTTACTTTTCTTTCTACTGTTGGGATTTGTACTACTACTACTTCGTCATGGTGGTGTACGATCTTGATGTCACCTACACGGGTTACATGACGGAAATCTACAACGTCGGGTCCTGCTTTGTGGGTCCAGTGTTTGGTTTGTACATCAGGTACACAAAGCACTTCAAAAATGCCTGTCTTTACTTTGCACTACCGCTTATGGTGCTGGGCGCTGGTTTGATGATACATTTCCGTGGCCAGGACGGTTCTATCAATTATGTGATCATGTGCCAGATTTTCATTGCTTTTGCCGGCGGCACTCTCGTCATTGGAGAGGATATGGCTGTCATGGCTGCCTCTGACCGCATGAATATTCCCATGATGCTTTCGCTGATTGGTTTGTCCAGTAGTCTGGGTGGCTCCATTGGGACTGCTGTCGCGGGGGCCATCTACGCCGACACATTCCCCAAAGCCCTGCTCTCGCGTCTTCCTGAGGATGCCAAAACTAATGCTACAGCTATCTACCTCGGAGGATATTCCACTCAGCTCCAGTACCCAGTTGGCTCCCCTGTTCGTGACGCTATCAATTATGCTTGGGGCTACAATCAGAAGTACGGCTGCGTTGCAGCAACTTGCATCCTTGCTCTTGGATTTCCCGCTGTTGCTGTGTGGAAGAACTACAGAGTTGACAGGAAACAAAACAAGGGAACGGTATTTTAATCATCTTCGCTTTTAGGGTTAGTGATGAAAGGGAACATGCGGTTAAAAAAGAAATCCATGGATGCAAGTCATGTTTTGTCTCATGTACATACACTTACGACACCCCTGTTTGATAAACTAATTAATTATTTTAATAGATAAGAACATCAATTTCATCCCTTGAATCTAACCATAGCATCTACCTAGCTGTCTAATATTTATAGAGCACCGAGGTTGGAGTAATCTTAATACAAGCGTTGTACAAGAGTTGAACGGAGATGCCGACGTGCTACTCAGGTCTTAAGGTTAGAAGAAAAGGTAAGTACAACACAAGGCCTTGATATCCCACCTTTCTTTGCCCTATGTACTATTTTCTTTGGCGCCCTTCCATCCTTAGTGCTGCCCGCGTTTACTCACTGAAACTGCGTAGAACTGACAACCGGATCAGCGAGTCTTGATAACAAGCTCAGACATGCTCCGTGAGCCAAGGCTGGGCAGTCTAAAACTTGTTTGCTTGGTCCTCAGTTGACCAATTACTTTTAGGCTGCTAGCTCATGATCTTCACATTTCTGTCTTGTGCCTCATATTGAATCATTCCCAGAATTTTGTATTGTTGCTAAGCTTAGGTTGTTGGCGACCTAAGGGACATGTGGCCTGTAATTTGCCTCAAGATCTGTCATCTCTGTTTCATTATTTTGCGCCGTTGAGGTTGATCCGGCTGCGGAAGATTCATAGTTTTCGAAAGTTTGAGTATCGAAGCCGGGTAGCGCGCTGATTCTGCGCGGGAAAATCTCGGTACGACTTGTTTCTCTTGCTACTCTTGCTTTTCGAGGCCTGTAATGCGAACTATTATCATCTTCAGCTCCCAAGCGGTTCTGGTTGGCATTTGAGGCTTGAGAGCAGCCAAACCAATGCGACACTCTTCGTACTAATGGGACGAGCAGGGGCAGGCATGCACAGATGATGGCCACGGCACACTCGATCACGGACCAGAGCGTTGCTGGCCCAATAGTTCCTGGTTGAAGTGGTCAATTGAAATATATTCTTCATTAAATGTCGTACACTTACCAGTGACATTGTGCGGCGAGTATATGAACAGCGTTGTGAATCGATAGATGCTGACGCCAATAACACTGCATTTCATGCGTTAATATCCGATCCTTCTATATCAGCTGATGGCATGAAAAATAAAGAAAAATGACTCACAAAGTGCCTAACATAAAGATACCAATGATAAAGGTGCGATAGAGTTTTCTGGTTTGCAACTGCCAGCAGACTTGTATAGGAAGTGATAAAATAGCAATGTCTGTGAGAACATTTGGCAAAGCAACACAAAAGAACCCGATACGCAAGCTAATACAATGCCCAGGCTGGTCGATATCCCATGCTTTGGACACCGGGGTGCATTGGAATATGGCAGTCGGCACAAAGGCAAGAGCCCACAGTATAACAAAACTGCCACATATGAACGAGCCCACGCGGAAGGTTTTTGAGAGATTGGTGAAAATGCGACGGTACATAATCAGAATAGATATTTTGATGGTCATTATGTTGATAACATAGAAAATCTCGAATACGTAGAGCAACTAGAGTAGTGCCCAGTAAATCAAACCAAGTCAGCTCGAATCTGCAGCACATATAACTGGATATAGCGATTATCGGCAATCGTGAAGATACGAAGATGATAGACAGACTACTGACCTTGCGCACCACTTTCGAATTTTCAGCAGGGAGCTCGCTACGGTCTTGCCCCATTCCCCAATGAGCCACTAAAAGAACATTGTCAACCATTGCCCCTTTATAGATATAGAGGTTAAGCATCTTACTTCCAAGGCAGATACCAGAAAGGACAAAAGCCAGAGCCTTGTGTCATCAGTTAGCATCGGGAGAGTTCCACAGAACTGTCATTATCAACTCGCCAGGCTTAAGATAATGAGCCAGTCATCCAGGCCGAGAGGGAGGCGGCGAACGTGTCGCGCAATCAAGCGGAGCACAGTAAAGAGCAGTGCGAGTACACTGACAGTGATGACAGCAGCTAACACCTGGCTGACTTGCAAATTGCTTGCCATCGGACACCCTGTCTGTAGGGCTAGAAGTGGTCAAGTATAAGGTAGAGCATACAGCGAGATGACTCCAGAATGTGTCTTTGGCATATTATTTAGCTTTTTCAGTAGGTAGAACAAGGCTCAAAGGATATTCCGCTCAAGCAAGGTACAGTCTGACTAGTCGACGATGTGTTTGCTCTTCAGTTTGGATTTTTGCATTCGTGAGGCAAAGACACTTCCGCAATTGGAAATGCAGTAGAGTATTATAGTGGAGATGCCAAGCCGCTAGCGGCGAAAGAGTACATATAGACTAGTAACTATAAATTACAAGAACATCTATCTATATAATTGGGCTTCAAGGATACAGATTGAGCAAACAAAAAAAAACATATATAGGAGAAACTATTATTTGTCAAGAAAAGGTGCCACAAAAAAGGGAAAAGATATCTGAAGAAATTGTTCTAGTCCACGCTTTTTAATATCGACTATTTACTTACGGCTGGTGCATTGAAAGCTCTGCGAACGAAAAAGACACAATAAGGGACGGAAAGAAATATAGAAAGAACGCGGAATTCAAAACAAAGTAAGCAATTCAGCACCGTATGTTCGGAGTAGAGTACTTGACTAAAGAGCGGAGGTTGAAGTTGGTACCACTGCTGTCCGTGTAATGAAGCCTGACGACGACCACGATGGCGTCGGCACCGAGGAAGATAGCTGGCAGGGCGGCGGGGTTGGCACACAGGGCGCGGTCACCGTCACCTTTTGTGTGATAGTGACGGTTGTGATTGACGTAGAAGGTGTTGTAGATGTAGCCACACTCGTAGTCGTAGCCTGCGGAGCATCGTATGCCTCTGCGGACGACTCCGAAGTGGAATCGTTGTTGGTATTGAATGTCTCAGAGCCGGAAGCCGCAGTAGTCGTGGTTGGAGCTACATAGATAGAGGTCGATGTGGAGGTGGATGCTGTAGTCGTAGGTGGAGCCACATAGATAGAGGTCGATGAGGACGTGGATGTGGATTCTGTGCTCGACGAAGTCGTCGTGGATGGAGCCACATAGACAGATGTCGATGTGGAGGTAGATGTTGTACTCGATGATGAGACGGACGAGGAGGAAGACGAAGACGAAGATGAAGCCGCAGAGTTGTAAGCGTCACCAACCGAGTTAGCCACGCCATCCGTGAGCAAATATCCATTAGCGACGTAGAAGTAGGAATAGCGCGTAAGTGCAGATTGCTCGTTAAGCCACGTGCCGGCTTCCTCGACAAAGGAGGTGGCAGTGGACAAGTCCGAGATGCCACCTTCATCCGAGCTCAGGGCGAATTCGGTAAGCCAGACCTCGGAGATACCGTAGTTGGAGGCGGTGTCGATCGCTTCGGTGATGAAAGCCTGGAGCTCGCTAACAGAAGTTCCATACCAGTGGACGGCGAGAACTGACACGCTGCAGTCAGAGCAGTCGCTGATAAAGGACTCGAACCAATCGAGACCTTCCCCAGAACTGGACGAGGAAGTGACAGCAGGGCTCACTAGCGTTGCTTTACCGGCGTAGGGCGTGATGTACTCCTTGTAGTATGAGGCGGCTTCGGAGGCGCTCAGATCGGCCTGGGAGGACATATCCGGCTCGTTGAAGCCCATGATGTAGGTGCTACCATCTGAAATGGCCGACTCAATTTCCGAAGTCCATGCGTCGAGATAAGTGCTGCTGGCGCCCCAGAGCATGGGCACGTACTCAACACCAGAAGGCAAGTCGGCATAGCTTCCACAGCCCCAGTTATAGGCCCACGAGATATCGCTAGAATCGCCGATCAGAGCCGAGACGAGAGAAGCATCGTTGTAGGCAGCACCGGCCTTGCCAGAGCTGGACCTTTTCTGCAAGGATGAAGAGCGAAGCTGTTTGGAGGGAACAGCGCCTGCAGAGGCAACCAAAAGACCGGCAGCAGCGAACTTGAGAACGGAAGCCATTGGACTTTCTTTCTCTCTCCTTTTTTTTTTTTTTCTTTTCTTTTCTTTTTTTCTTTTTTCACGCTTTGAAAGGACAGAAATGGGTGGGTGTTGTGAAAGAAAGGGG